AGATTGTCTTGGTAAATGTGTTTTGGAGTGGATCAACTGGTGGAAGTTTAACTTAGGAGCGTGAGGATCATATGAGAGAGTCGTATCTGACTCTGTTTTCCTCAGGTAATTTTCGAGTACGAAAATTCTTTAAGTGAGAAAGAGTTGTAACACCCCAAAATTAAAATTATTTATTTAATTAATTATTTGTGAATTATTGGTGATTATCTGTGTGACGTATAATAATATGTTGTGTGGTAGTAGTGGACTAAGGTTCTAATTAGAATAATTTGGATTTAGATAAAAAGAATTTAATTATTTAGATGATATAATATAGTTTATAATATTTATAATTATTTAATAATAATTAAATAGAATAATTGATGTGTAAAGAGAGAATAAGGGCATGATAGTGATATGTGAAGATAAATGAGAGTAAAAGCGGAATAACATAGAAAGGGTCTAAGGGGTAAAAAGAGAATATGGAATGATATCGATCATTCTATGGGATCGTAGAATTGGGAGAAACGTGATTAAGAGGCTAAAGCTCAGAGGAGGATTTTGTATAACACGAAGGAAGAGAATCAATTGCTAGGAATTTGAGGTAAGGGGTTTAATCAGATTTATTATAATCGATAGTGGGTTAAGATAGATGTAGGGTTTTGTTGTATGATTGATTTGATGAAACATGTGATTGATTTTGATGACATATTGATGAAATTGTTGATGTTGATGATATGTAAATACCATGATTTAATCCTAATGTGTGCCTATATATGTTTTGATATTAAATATGTGATATATAATGGTTATAATGCATTTTGGGATGAGTATGACACATATAGTCGCATTTGGAATGGCTGGAACAGTGTAAAAATCACACTGAAAAGTTGTAGGTTTGTGCCTACTGTCGGGTGAGCTTGGGGCGAGGAGAGCGCCCAAGCGTCGTCGGGCGAGGCAGGAGGCGAAGGACATGGTGGAAAAAAGGTACTACTAGAAAATTTATGGGGGATGGATTGTTGCCCCAGTGTCGTCGGGTGATCAAGGCAGCAATGATCCCAATCACGCCCTTTGTCAGCCGAGCACCAAGCGAGCAGGGCGCTCCAAAGAGCGCCAGTGATGAAAAGGCGAGCAGCCCTGGTAGCATTTTCCAAGTGTTGTAACTTGAGTTTCGAGACTATGTTTAATGCGTTGTTCGAAATGTTGGGAAACTAACACGCTGAACTATATTATGACTAAACTATATGAGTTGTTTGATGCATGATCCTAGTACATATGTGTTGATAAAGTTGAATCATTATATGTTGTTATACTATGATACTCTATTTGTTTTAATGATGAACTTGATGTTGTCATGAAGTTGTTACGAATTGCTATGATGTTACTATGATGTATATAATTGATGTTGTTTATGATGATTCTTAATGATGTGCGTGTTGAACTATAATATGAAAGAATAATATGAGACATGTGATGCATTATTCTTGTGCCTACATTTTTATGAGATTGATTTATTATATGTTGTATGCTATGATGTTTTGTTTTAACAATGAATACGATCTTATTATGAAATGTTATGAAGTTGATATGACGTCATGGTGATATAGTTGATGTGATTCATGATTATGCTTTAGTGATATGCTTGTTTTAAAGATGTAATACATGTTATGTGATGATTATGTAATGACTATATGAATGATGATGCACTTGACTAGCCGTGGTCGAATTTATGTGACGTTGTTGTGCATCATGCATTCATGTCATTTTTTTACGGTAGTCTGCTATTTTAGACGGTGGTCCTCTTATGATGAGCCTCAATCCTATTGTGTGGATTGTGTGCATTTATGATATGCTCTAGTTCCAAGAGGGAATCAATCCTATGGTGGGGATCTTTGGAGGGAGATGAACCAGGTGTTCGTAAGATATTTGTACCATATGTATTGAGTCAGTATTGTGCATTAACATCTTATGTGACATTACATGATTTTGTTGATGAGTTTTGATGTGATGATAATTGTGAACTATGTAAGTATATGAAGATTTTGATGATGAAAGGTGTTTAAGTGTTATTGTGATGTATCTGTGAGTATGTCGTGTTGATGAATAATATATATCGGTATATGATGATGTTGTTATAACTACTAATCTTTTTCTTATATCTTTTATAATGAATCATGATTAGTCACCCTTTCAGTTTGAATGTTACGTCATAGTGGGTAACACGCATGTGACCAGGAGTAGTTCGTAGAAGCATCGATGATAGCTCCAGAGTTTTTTATTGAGTTTGTTCATTAGTGGTGTCTTGCTATGATATGTAACATCGGGTTGGGAACACTATGTTTTGCGAATGATGTACTTTTATTAACTTGTTTTTATGAGATTATCAGATGTTAAAGTGTTTTAATTATACTTTTGATGAGACTATTATACTTGAGTTTTGAAAGATGAGTGAAGTTGTTCTATGACGTTGATTTCCGCTACGACGATCTCAAATAATATGTTGAATTTTGATTGTGTGTTTGTTTAAGATTGGTGTAACCCGTGTTACAGAACATAATTGTTATTATGATATTTTCTATGAAGTGTGACACCCTTGAGTGGTGATATTAAATGAATTATTCTTAATTTATTCGTAAGTTAATTATGGGATTCAAAAAGGTGTTACAGTCATACCGACCACCGATTCCACATCCCCTAGGAACATCACCATTTACTTACTTTACCTATTATTATATCTAAATTATTGAATTTGATGGTTGGCTCGTGGTATGACTTACAACAAATGTCCTATACATTATATCACTTAGTATCGCAACCTCTTGGATCATCTTAGACCTTGGAAGGACTTTGCTAAATCTGATTGTCGTAAATGGAGGCATCAACATGACCATGTATTACGTGACGTTGTGAGGTCAACCCAATCTAACTCAACTAATATATACGATCAACCCCAAAACACTTACACACAAGAAACTTCAATGTCTAACCCCCCCTCCCCATAAAATTATCAGACCAGTTACTCACAACTCCCATCCAATAAAATTACCGACCCGTAAATAATCAAATCCATAACCAAAACATACCAAACACCTAACCACAATACCAAGAGCGTACCCCAAATCATCGTCAATAAGATGATTATTATCAAGTACCCTCAACATATCATAGCCAAAACAGTCAAGGAACATATAACACTAACCATTCCTCCTGCCATAGCCAAAACGGTCAAACATCACAACAACCATGTGGCTATTAAACACCACAACAATCATTTCAACCTTTCTCCAACGAATCGTTCACACCTATATCTCACTTCAATCATCTAGGTCGATACCAATATCCCCATCAACACATCTGAAATACTTTAGCACGGGTCTCGAACTCGATTACGGTAGCGTGTCAATCCATACACAAGACTTCTTAGAAATGCAAGAGCTTCTTAAGAATTATGGTTATGTTACAAAGACCTTAAATCCTCAAACATCTGGAGTGAATCAATAACGAGTGCAACGAGTTAGGATAGTTAGGAGTGTGGACACTGAGGTCGGTATGATCAACATGGTCGTCCTTGTTAGTGTTAATTTTATTTTCGTATATAAACATAATTTTAATTCAATATTATTTTGTTTCTTTATATAATCTATTGTTTTACTAAAAAAAATACAATACACATTGGCGCCATATGAATTGGTGCCACCATTGAAAGGATGTACACTAGCACCAATTGAGCAGTCAACGTCATATGCAGGCACCAATCAATTTGGCGCCACCATTGTAAAACTAAGTGAAGTTGTAAATTCACCTGGCACCACCGTTGCGTTTCATATTTTTGTTTGAAATTGAGGTAGATTGGGAAAAATTTTGAAAGGTGGTTATTTTAGAAATATTTTTTAAAAACCGAGTTATTTAGGGAAAAATCACAAGTTATCAATCATCAATTCTAGTTGTTCAAATTAAATAATAATATATCAATGACTAAAAATATTATTTACTCATGATAGACTAAAACACCTTGTCATGAGATATGTGGTAATTGTGCTTGCATCTTCTCTTCTACGTAAGCTATTTACAACATTTATATCTTTCCAAAACAGGTTAATCATGCTTCAAATCTAAAAATAAAATAAATATATAAAAAAAAAAAAAAAAAAAAAAACAGGCATAATAGTGGAGATTGGAAGTCATATAAGTGCACTTGATATAAAAGACAGAGCTCATATTTGTTCAACCTATAGTTTAAGTTTAGATGGCACGCTGATTAAAAATATTATGTTAAAAGTATTCCTTAAAGATTTTGATTGATCCTCGCTCTTCAAACTAAGGCTATGATCCTCACTCTTCAAATTAATTTAAGGATAATGTTTAAATTGAGAACTAAAATGGAGTAGCACAAAATGAAACAATTATGTTTGGATTGATGAACTAGAACGGAATAAAACATAATGAAAACTAATTAAATAGAGTGGAACATAACGAAATAGATCAGATATTTCATTTTGTTTGGGTATTTTTGTTAATTTAATGAGATGGAATATAACTAATTAGTTCATTCTATTGTATAGACTCCGAACTGAACATAATAAAAATGAAAGGATTGAATAGAATATGATAGAATGAATTTCATCATGTTCCATTTCGCTTCATCAATTATTTGCAAATCCAACCACTCCACTCAATTCCATTCCATCACATTCTGCAAATCCAAACTATCATAAGGTTAAGTTAAAATTAAAGTTATGATGTATATTTCAGTTTATAAAATCATTCATATTTTTTGGGCTAAAAATTTATATATAACTACTACCCCTGCTATATATAACTTATGGATGGTGGGCTGGCATATGAAGTTGTGCCATCAGAACTTAGCAAAATGACCAAACAATTCTGGCATACTCTTACACTATTAATGCAAACTACTGTGAACATTTTTCCTTTTAGTTGGAAACTGCTAAAGAAATGTGTTTAGAGTGTAGTAATTCTTAATTTTACAACTAAAAACCTATCAAATCTACGAGAAAATGTTACTCTTCTTGGGTGGGTTTTTCTTGGGGATGGTTCAGAACAGAAGAAGAAATTAACCCCGGGTCGCCTGATTGCTGTGATGACATTGCTTCCTGGCCCTACATGATCAAAATACATAAATCAGTTTGGTGTCAAAGGACATGGGAAAAATAAGATCCAGAGAAAATTAAACAAAAACCAGCCAGGTCTCCAGCTACAAAACCGATTTTTTCCAGTAAGAATTTAATTTAACTGACCTGCGGTATCACTAATGCCTGCATTTGGTCTTCTGCGGGATTGCTGCTGCTCTGTCATTGCAAAGAAATAATTAGAACAAAAGGAACGAGTTTAATAAAAATATGAGTCACAATTTCAGTGTAACAAAACTGTTCAATACTTGTGTTGACGGCTGTAGCTGCTGAAGGTAAACAGAATGCTCTTGCTGCTGTGGTTGCTGCTGCTGCAGAACCTGTTGTATTTGGAAGTGCAACTGTTGCAGTTGTTGTGGTTGAAGAGGTTCTGGTTGACTTTGTTGTTGAAGTTGTTGCGACAATTCCGGTTGGAATGATTGTTGTTGAAGTTGTTGCGACAATTCTGGTTGGAATGATTGTTGTTTAAGTTGTTGCAACAATTCCGGTTGGAATGATTGTTGTTGCAATTGAGAATAATGTTGTAGTTGCAACTGCTGCTGCTGGTAGTAATAATGATGCCACATCTGATTATGGTCTTGGCCATTCTGCATATATCCATATTGATCATTGTCTTGCATTGAATGCTGTGATACGTTTGATGTGGTACTAGCTTGTAATTGAGACTGAGATAAAGAGTTTTGCGTCTGAATGTTTTGTATAGGCCAACTTTGAGCAGCCACAAAATCAGCAGTAGGAGCAGTGGCTTGAAATTGGTTTTGTCCTTGATTACATTGCTGAACTTGCAATGCAGATTGAGAACTCACAGGAACTACGGGAAAATATGCTCCCCCATCACCTGTATGCATTTGCTGCAGAGATAAATGCCGGTGCTGGTGCTCTTTTCTATGTGTATACTCACGATTACCATAGTTGGGACCTCCACGTTCACGGTTACCGTATTTAGAACCTCCACGGAATTTACCAGTATTTCTATTCGGACCCCAATTTCCACCACTATTTCTAGACAATCGGGATGGAAAAAATGGTCTTTTTGTTCTATGGACCAGATGATTCGGCCTGTTTCTCTCATCATGAGTTTGGGCATAATCAGAAACTTGAGTACTTCTTGAAGAGTTGTACCAATTCGCAGTATTTGACTTGCAGCTTTCTGGAATTGTCTCGCACTCCACCTGAGATGCTGTTAGTCCTGAATCAGGGCGTGTACTTTCCTGGGGGTTCAGTGACTCACTTGTTACAGAAAGGGGCTTCAACTCTTCAGTCTCAAGCTCACACTTCCCCTGAGGAAAAACAGAATTTTCATTTGACGATGCTTGCAAGGCTTGGGAGGGTTGATTTCCACTGGCTGTTGGATGCAATAAATTTTCTGATGAAATGTCAGATCCAGAACAATCTTTTTTTAAATTCTCAAATTTGGTAGATTCCTCTTTCACTCCAACTAAATCTGCAGACGGAAAATGCTGTTCAGAATCATTGTCTCTTGGCTCTTCTGAAACTGAGATAGGTAATTCCCTTGCATTATCTTCTGCTTTGTCATCTGACTCCGTAATTTGAAGACAGGCTGGATCTGTATCATTAGGCTGAGTTGTATTATTCTCCATTAAGACCAATCCATCATTGGCATCATCAGACTGAGTATCACAATATTTCTCCGACGACATTTTCTTGTTTTGTTGAGGTAAATGCGCTTGCAAGTTAGAACTAGGATCTCTAGGTGCTTCATCAGACATGGCAACAGAAGTCTCTTCTCTCTTGTTCTTGATCAAATTGAGTGGCCTTCTACTTTTGGTCGAGTGCTGACATGAATTTATTCGTGCAGAGTCTGGAAATAATCTTATGTGTCGATTCAATGCCTTCCTTACATCATTTATGGTTCCACAATAGTCAACAAACTGGTATAACATACAGGTGTTAGTATAAATAATTCTAGGAACCTGAGCCTAGCCCAAGTGAAAGAGATTTACTTCAGAAATCCAAACAAACTATCGAGAGCTCAAAATACTTTGCTTTCATCTCTTGGATAAATAAATACAACTTTTCTTTTGAAGTGAAAATTACTACAAGTTACTTAGCCTTTTCGAAAACTAAGAAATATTTGGAGAGAATAAACAAAATGTAAGTGTCGTCTGTATTTACTTTCTAAAGACAGCAGCTCTATAGCATAAACAAACAGTAATGACCTGTACATGCAAAAAGTTTTAAAATTGGCTAAAACAAATTGGTGGAAACATAAGAAAAATAACTGATAAAAAAACAGATCAACCAACATATATTACCCCATTACTAAATCATACTAATGAACTCTAGAATAACTCGGTTCATACAAACAGTATAACCTCTAGGTATAAGTTCGATATATCCTCCGCATCCTCTGCACTCAGACCTTGAGAAATATCAGACTTTGGAGATAATGCACCTGCAATAATTGAATCTATTACATCCATGTGTTTTTTCCCTCCATGCATCATAGAGAACTTTATCAATTCCTGTAAAAGTACATCAAGACAAGTGAATAAATTTTACTAAAACTTACACTCACATATGATGATTTTATCTTCCAAAAAAAATTGATACCTGTTATAATAAAATTATTCCTAGGCATGTACATCACTGCTCATGATTTACAAAACCATTCTCACGTGACCAAAACTTTGATTTTTCCAATTAAGTACTACATAATGATGAGTCTATGCTACACCAGATCAAAAGTAGTTTTCCTTGATGGGCGTAGGTGAATTGGTTTTTGATAATGCTGCAATCTGGATAGAAAATGAACTGCCCTTTTCTAGTTCCTAAATTTAGTTTAGCTGACAATTCAAACATTTGTTTATCAGTAGGGTTTGTTTTGGGTGTGGGGAAGTAAAGAGAAATGCCCCTTGTCCATGAAGGTCAGAAGTAGCTTTATAAGTTGTATTTGTGTTGTTGAAGTTGTATTGGAGACTCAAATTGCTTAGGTTACCAGGTTGTTGGATGTATAAATGTGTTTGGACAACCTCATCCTTTGAGTTAGCTTTTGGGATGAGTTCCAAGCCCATTTAACAGTAGCAAATAGACTGTTAGACATGTTCTGTCAATATGAATCGGCCTATATATATCTAAAACCAATTAAAAACAAGGTTATTTTATCTGGTGTGATTGGGTATTTATGATCAATTGATCGAATACAGCAACTCCACCTAGTGGAAAAAAGTATTGATTTGTTGTTTGAGGTGTCGGTAGGCTTTGTATAATCAGACGATACTCGATAACCTAGACAGGTGTATTTGCAAGCATGCATACTGAATTCCTGCTTAGATGTAGTTCTCTTTGCAAAACATGCAATAATAATATAAGGGGAAAGACAGACAGACATACCTCCAGAAGCAATTTGTTTTGAGGCAAAGTTCTGATACCATCAGTTAAGACAACTCTAGCAGCATCCACGTTGTTTGTACTCTTAAAACCAAGGAAGGAACAATCGGCAAAAATTAGTTACTACACGTGACATCAGCTTGAATTGTATATATGACTCTTTTTTTTTAAAGAACTTTTTGTATAATTCTGATATGCTTATAACCTTAATGTACCCAGACCAATCCTCTAACTCCAACTACAGTTATTCTCTTTGAACTATGATCCCCAAAGTGAAATTTGTTGCCAGCACACAGAAAGAAAGAAAAATATCAACTGAGGAAAAACATTCCAAACAATCCCATGGATTGTGCTAGTTACAAGAAAAAGAAAACGAAGGGGTACTAAATTACTATGATAAGGATGCTACTAAACTGACATGGTGCAGTACCTAAATCTGTAGTACATCCCAAGAAAATTTTAAATCTGGCACGGTGTAATTGTTGTATTTCAAAATTATATATTTCTTTTTCATAATGGCTCTACCACTAAACTGGACACAGGTTGAAATTAGGACTCGATGAAATAAAATATCTTATGCAGAAGAAGAATTTTGACATTAAATTAAGGAACTGAATGATGTAAGTAAAAGTAATTACCTCTCCAATGAAAGTTCTCAAAAACTTGATAGGGTGATTTTAATCATAAAAAATTAGAATCACACTGTTAAAGAAGAAAGTTAAGACCTAATGCTTGATGCAGACAAGCATAGACTACCTACCATATATTTTAGCCGAGAGAAATGAACATATAACATGGGGAGGGCCTGTAGCTTTTCCTCTGTTGCAGCTATTTCAAGTGCTTCTTTGTATATACTGAAAGCCAACTCCGTATTTCCCTGCATTAAAGATATAAAGCAGCACATGCAGTAACTTACTGCATCTGGGCATTCTAGAGCTAATTTTTTTTCAATGGCGGTACAGGCGAATTGCATACCAAACGTTTTTCCATATTAGCTTTTGATATAACATTCTCCACAAAGTCTGAATCTATCTCTTTACAACGACGAATATATGCAGCACGAGCAGCTAAAACATCTCCTATTTGCTCCTTAAACCTAGCATTAAATAAATGGATTGCTGGCACACTCTGTAACAAACATATAGTGGAGCTATAGTCAAAACATAAAGCTATGCAGTTAAAGTCTAGAGAAGAAAGGAAATAAAAAAGTTTCAGCGAGGCACGACCTAGTCACACAGTTCAGAAATATGCTGTGCTAAGAAAGCATTGATTAACAAATGCGGAGAAACCACACAACTCAACATAACGAATAGCAAACATGTTTTGACTTGGATTTCATTTTATAATTAGTAACCTTCCCATTATAAACCACTCGGTAGAATCTCGAAAAACAAGGTTATCTATGATTTCAATTATTGTGTAAAACTGTGGCAATTTTTTAGTTCTATTGGAATAGAGGATCAGGAAAAATAATGCCCTAGCGATATTGTGGTTCATCACTTGCATTCTTGACGGAACTGCTACGGCCTACGAGTGCCTATATAGCCTATATGCATATTCACCAGTAGCTTAATTGAGTGAGTTCAAATAAGAGAAAACTGCAGTTCCTGTTTGATGTTCAGTTTTTGACATACCAAAAAAGTAAAATTACAAAAAATGGCAAACAACTTCAATAAATATTAAATTAAGGCTTAAATAGTCTTTTGGTCCCTGTATCTTTTTTTCTTGGATAAAGTCCTTAAATGTTGAATTTCATTTATTTTTAGTCCCTAAAACGAAAATCCACAGGAAAATCTGCAGGTTTCCTGCGGATTTTACCTTCGAACTTTCCTGCGGATTTTAACTTTAGAGACTAAAACCAAAAGGATTTTAACATTCAGGGATCATTTACAAGAAAAAAAAGTTACAAGGACCAAAATAAAAAATGCGCCAACTTACAGAGACCAAAAGACTATTTAAACCTTAAATTAAAAGTGTAGACAAATTAAGCTCCCCCGAGACCAAATGTATAACCTCTAGAGAAAAACAACTAAAGACTTGTCTCAAGCATAGTTCCCGTCTTATACTTTTTTTATATTAAAAATCACCTTTAGACGTCATGACATGTGTTGATTATTCTCTATCAATTATGGTTGATATAGTTTCCTTATTTTTCCTTTCATGAGAGATTCTCTCGTATATAAATTTGCACAACCTTGTTGTGAAATCAAGTCATTGATTATAAATTAATCAAGTTGGTACCAGTGCAAGGTTTTGATATACTGGCTCCAGGTCTTTGGGGTTAACCTCCGTCAAGGCTAACCATAGTATTTAAATTCGATTGCTGTCAAACCCCCAAAATAGGTTTTTAAGATACAGAGGAGCCATGAGGAAATTAATTTGTCTACACCTTTCTTTTTAAGGGTTAATACCTATTTTCACCCCTGACATATGGGGTGTATTTGAAAAACCCCCTGCCAAAAAAAAAGTTCCAATTGTTACCTTGACAAATTTTAAAAGTTTCAGTTTTTACCTTGAGGATGCCACATCACCTAAAAGGCTGATGTGACTTATATTTTTGTTACATTTGTAAGTTTTTGTTATGCCATGTCACACAATACCAAATAAAATGTCCAGAATGCCCTTTTCTTAAAATCCCAAATTATTTGGCAAATGTTATGTTTCAATTCAGACCCTCCAAATTAGGGCGCAGCCATCTTCATCTCAGCAACCCAACTTTTGCTTTCCTCTTTAAGTTTTCTTTGATTTCATAAACATGAGTCAACCAAATTGTTCTACTTCAAGCTTATCTTCAAATGGTAGAGTAACTCCCAAATGCGGCCACAATGTCTCCATGAAGTTATTTGTTTCAAAATCGGTTGCAAATCCCGGGAGAAAATACTGGAAGTGTAAGTTCTGGGGTAAAGGAGATGACTGCAACGCATTTGTTTGGGATGATGAATTTTCTGATGATTTCGGTGATAACGGCCATTCGGATGTAGTTTCAGTAGAACTGATGAGCAAACTGGAGAGAGATATCGCACTGAAGATGGAAGCCATGGAGAAAAAAATGGATGAGTTAAAAAAGAAGCTGAATTATGTTTTAGTTGGGTTTATTTGTCTTTTGGTTCATTTCTTACTTAGTTCATGTAAAAATTCATGAAGCTGTGGCTTATGTTCTAGGAAGTTGTAACCTATGTAAAATTTAGTGAAGAAATGAACCATTTCCTAGAACATAAGCCACAACTTCATGAATTTTTACATGAACTAAGTAAGAAATGAACCAAAAGACAAATAAACCCAACTAAAACATAATTCAGCTTCTTTTTTAACTCATCCATTTTTTTCTCCATGACTTCCATCTTCAGTGCGATATCTCTCTCCAGTTTGCTCATCAGTTCTACTGAAACTACATCCGAATGGCCGTTATCACCGAAATCATCAGAAAATTCATCATCCCAATCAAATGCGTTGCAGTCATCTCCTTTACCCCAGAACTTACACTTCCAGTATTTTCTCCCGGGATTTGCAACCGATTTTGAAACAAATAACTTCATGGAGACATTGTGGCCGCATTTGGGAGTTACTCTACCATTTGAAGATAAGCTTGAAGTAGAACAATTTGGTTGACTCATGTTTATGAAATCAAAGAAAACTTAAAGATGAAGAGGAAAGCAAAAGTTGGGTTGCTGAGATGAAGATGGTTGCGCCCTAATTTAGAGGGTCTGAATTGAAACATAACATTTGCCAAATAATTTGGGATTTTAAGAAAAGGACATTCTGGACATTTTATTTGGTATTGTGTGACATGGCATAACAAAAACTTACAAATGTAACAAAAATATAAGCCACATCAGCCTTTTAGGTGATGTGGCATCCTCAAGGTAAAAACTGAAACTTTTAAAATTTGTCAAGGTAACAATTGGAACTTTTTTTTTGGCAGGGGATTTTTCAAATACACCCCATATGTCAGGGGTGAAAATAGGTATTAACCCTTTAATTAATGTGTCACATCCAAATCATCACATGTCACCAATGAAGCCCGGATACTCTAAAATCTCTGCCAAATCCTACCGATACATACCGATATACGCTCCGATATGTATTGAAAGAGAGTATCCAAAAAACTTATTTTGAAAAAAAAAACATAAAATTCCGATATGTTCCGATACGGCGGTGACACGTCCCGATTCGCCACGGCCAATTTATCTCATGACTGTTCATTTTTCTAGAACATTGAATCAAAATTCCCTCTTCTTACTTACTCTTCTCTCAACTTTAAGTACCTCACAAGTGTTCATTTTTCTATAACAAAAATCAAACTTTCCCCTCCTTAATTACTCTTCTCTCACCTTTAAATACCTCTTCTCTCTCCTATGTAATTTATGATGCACCCATTTAATATTCTCTCACGATTACTATTTTTTAAGATTGGTTTTTTTTTTCATAACTCCTATACCAGTCATCAAATTTTGCAAATTTAATTGGTTTGACATCACTTAGTGGATAAGGCTTGGTTGTTGTTGTTCTGTTGGACACTGGTTTAACTAATGTATAATTTTAATTTATATAAATACGTGTATGTATACTACATTTTTCAATGAATGATGTATCACCGTATCGGATACATATCGTATCTGATACCCTCATCGTGTTTGTGCTTCTTGATTTCACTTATTCATTTTCCTATGTGAAGTGCTATTACAAGTTAGTTTTTGTATATTGGACACTATAGCCATATAACATTGATTTTAATGCTTCATACTTGTGTTCTTTAAAATCCCTAAAACTTTTGCAAGTGTTTGTTCGATCCCTGAAGATATATTTGGAAGGTGAAAAATAAACATGCAGATGTTGACCATTAACACGGCATTCAAGATATTCAATCAACATAACATGTAACTGGGAAAATACCTTCAAATAAATTCCGGTTGCTCGGTCTAGAGAATAATTTGCTATTTCTCTTCCTCCCTTGGCTTCCATGAAGTCCGCATAACGCATCCAGTAATCAGGATAATTGGCGCACACAATTAAGCATCTCTCGTAAAGTTTCACAGCCTAAGCTTAATGCAAGAAATGGAAGAATTAGCTAATAGTGTTCAACTAAAAAATAATAGTAAGCAATTGGAAAACTATATTGGAATAATGTGCCGAGACTACCCAGTCAAAATCCCCTTGAAGTTCAATAAAATCCAGATAATCATGCCAATTCTGCAATTGATTTGCATCAAGTGGTAGGACATCAAAGTAATATCTTGGAATATTTGCCTCAAAAGAACTAATCTTTGAATACAGTTCGCAAGCCTTATGATAAAGCTGTTCTCCAATGATCCTGTACTTTTTTAGAGCTACTGAACTGGTCAATCCAACAGACGAATCCACCATATCTTTGATAATACAATAAACCTTATCATCATTGCAACACGTAGTCATGGGAATTTCACCATCAAAACATGATTCAGATTGTAATTCCCTTGGAGGATTGTCCTGACTTGTTATGCCATCTTCCAAAAAGGTTAGCAGCTTTTTAAAACTGAAGAAATATAGAACTGATACAGGTAAGAGTATTAACAAAATGAATAGTAGATCATAGGAGAGAGAACTCTCCTCCAAGAATTTCCCCTTCACAAAAGGCATTTCATTTTTAAACTATCTAATTCAAAAATTAACCACCTAACATTGCATCCCCTATTTGCTTATCTAACCAATCCCCTCTTACTAATGAACTGCTCTAATTGTCCCGAACTAATTTTTCCTGGTAGAAATAAACGAGCATATCTTAAAGCACTACTCTATAAGGCCTTCAAAAAAATCTATAACAAAAGCAAATAATTACTCGAGTTTGCCTACAAACTTCCACATACAAACTGGAGGAATAAAATTGAAAGATATGTCCATAATACTTTCCCCCCAATTCCCTCTTCTGTTGCCACGACCAGATACATAAGTTGTCATTGAATTTGTAAACATAAAACAGTACATGAGCTCATGTGTAACATAGCTACCCAGTTCAACTCGGACTTCATAGCAATACATGTTATTGACTCAGAATAATCCTACAAAAAAGGGGCGAGTGCAAGGTAATGGGCCTGACATTATTAAAAACTATGCGAACATAGCCTTGTAAAACATCATTGTTTTAACATCAAGTTTTCATCAGCTTCTCAGAGCACCACTTAAGACTCAGAAGTTACACAATGCAAGACATACCTATCATAATACTGGTGTAACTTTTTGGTTGGAAATTTAAGGGTCTGGATATAAATGTGAGCAAGAGAAATCCACTGCTGCTGGGAAAACGCAAAATGGATATACTTGTCCCACAAGGTATGGCATAAGTAATCCTTCCCAACAAAGGAAATGGCTCTCTTGAACAATCTGGCAAAAATAAAGCAACAAAATCATCTCATTTCCTTTCAGTAGTGAAAGTTTTCAAAGAATATAAAGAGATAAGAATGTGGAACGATGCGGAAAATAAAAGAATTCAACCTAAATCATTTATATTTGCAGTCCCTACAACTACGGTGTGTGCGTGTGTGTGCATGCGTCAGATTTAACTAGATTTACCTCTGAATATCAGATGCATCCTCAAAAGCAGACATACCAAAGCTACAGTAGTCAACCCACAAGCCAACCGAATATGTTGCAGCGGAGACAGCTTGTTCAAAGACTTGAACAACCTTATCCATGGTGCATAACCGTGACATGTGTGCCGCATACTTCTTCCAATACCCATGACACAAAGGGAATTCAGACAAGAATTGGTCATAAACTAGACATATTTTATCCACATTATCCTGCAAAAATAAACCCAATACCCAATTGACATATAGTTATGCTGATCTCATGTATAAAATGGCATTAAGGCATCAAACTTACAGGATAAGTTTTCTCAGTCTCTAAGATGAGTGAAACGCATTCATCAAAATCAAGTGAACCCTTAGAAATAATTTCAAGTTCAAGATTGTCATTGGTAGCTGCAAAGATAAAATAACAAGCAACTCAGTTAGTTTGTTGCTGCGTTGCGAAAATCGATTGAATGAATAAATAGATTAAGAAGCAGCGTGAAGAGTTGGTTACCGGGTGATTTTGTAGGACAATGCGACACCATTAGAAGCCGATGAGAGATACCGCACCACCGTCGTTCAGGAAGGAGAAATTTTGGTTTTGGTTCAAATCTCCTTTTCCTTTCTTTCTTCTTTGGTTTTTGGTTTTTTGTTTTTTTCTGGTGACCCCTCTATACATCATAATTAAACCCCTAAGAGAACATGTCAATAAATTATGTGTAAATATTTTTTTGAAACACGTTTATTTAATATTTTAAAATTTTAAATATAATTTTATTATATATTTAATATATTTAAATTTTTCTAAATATAATATTTTTAATATGTGTTTTTAGACCACATGATGTTAGAATGATTCTTTATTTAATAATAAGAGAAATACTTGAATGAAAACAAATTCAAATTCATATTTTTATAAATATTTAATAAGAGCAAAGATAATTTTAAAGAGAATTTCTTAATTTACTCTATAGTTTTCTAGTACACCACACAAAAATACATAAATATTTTTGAAAATTAAAAATATATTTTCAGGACATGCTAAAATGTAATAAAAAACTATACTTCTCAGAGTTATATTTCTGGTACCGAATTGATATTATATTTTCTATTCTATTTTGTGTTTAGAATATGGTGGAATCACTTTTAGTTGTGGTATATGATACATAATGCGTATCGGAAATATATTTTCGGTTTTTCAAGGGTATTTCCGGAATTGTATATGGTGTTTTGCAATCATGTGGGATAGGGTAAGAAATTCTCAATTTTAAATTTATTAACCAAGTATTTCGGTTTTAGTGGGAAAGGAGTTTCCACTAAGGACAAATCGTTTGGATACTACTCGAGTTCAATTCTCCTTAAAAATAAGATTTCACCACTAAGTCGTCTCTCTGAACCACGAAACTATTATGTAGATCGGAACTGGATTACTAAATCAAAAAAAATTTATTTTATTTAAAATTTAATTTCTTTTATAATTAGATTTATAGGATGGTTGTGATTGAGTAGGAGAGAAAATTGTATTTTAGTTTTTTAATTAATAAAAAATTATGATTGATTGTTTGTAAAGTCATATGTTAAGTTGATTTCATGTAAATATTTTTCTAATAATAAATACTTCACAAGTCTCTTATTTTAGACTATTTATTCTAAGTCCGTTAATTTAATTTAATGTTCCATTTTAATCCTTAACTAAATGATGTTATAAGTTAATCATTTAACTTATTTCGGTTATCTTATTATTTCATTTCTCTTCTGTCAATTTTTGAAGAAAAAAACTTAAATTTTGATAATATTTTTTAATTAAAAAACTAATATTAAATTAAGTCAAGAAATTAAAACATGTATTAAATCTTTATTTTAATATTTATAAATTTTACTATTATTAGAAAAAATAGTTGTAACAATAAATATATAAAAATGTGATATTTGTATAATTATTTAATAGTTAATAATATAATATGAAAAATAAAACGATATATAAGGTAATAAGTTTTTACTTTCTTCTCAAATTTTCTATTTTTTTATTTAATTTTATTTTTCAAATTAACTTCTATTAATTTGAGTCTTCGTGATAGTCTATTAAAATAGCCACATTAGTCTAAGTCAAAATCGTGATACTATCAGTTGATCCCAAAGAACGACACCATTGTAGTCTTGGAGAAGGACGCTGAGGGAGAACAACTAAATAACTCGCCAGTTTATACTAATATGCCCTAGCCTTCCTCGTTGTGGACTGATGCAACATTTGATGCAGTGGGATTCATTAACACTCGTCTCCCTTTCCATGAATTTTTTCATGTAACTATCAAGTCATTTGTCATATGGCGCCTTGGAAATTTTCTGAGATGGTGGAGAATCACATGCTTAAGAGTCTGCTGAAGGAGCGAGTCCTCCGTGAGAACCACGTAAAAATTATGGGTGAGCTAAAGGTCAAACTTGTTATGGCAAAAAAAATCCATTATCAAAGGGTAGGAAATAGTGAAACAAATTGTAAAAGAGATATATGGGTTGAAATACACTCTTAAAAAGGTAGCATCATAGGCCAAAACACTCTTTATCTTAGAGAAAAACCTAAAGAAGTCCCGTGAGGTTGTCAGTCACTCTCAAAAGAAGTTGGAGGAAGAATTATCCACCTTAAAGATGAATTATTTGACACTTTTGATCAATACTTTGAGCGAGAAAATGAGTAGGTAGTTTTCCTCTACCTCATTCTGGACCTGAGTCAAATGGACTTACTCAAAGTGGTCTAGGATGGCCAGTTGGTGGGTGAAGAATATGGGCATCTCCCCAAGGTGTCTAGTACATCTCCTAATGGGGACGCTCGGGTTGAACCTAAGGGTGACATGGCGGGGTGGAGGAAACACCAAAGGAGGATTCTAATCGCCATGAGAGTTCTTCAAAATAAATATGGCCCCAAAAGGATGGTCAATGATCTAGTGGCTTTGTTATTTCATCCTTGGTGAATATTTTTTTGTAACTACGCCTTAGGGGATTTATGTAATGATTAGTTATTCCCTTAGAGGCTTTTATCTTGTACTTTTGCTCTTTACGGGCCTTATTAATGAAATTTCTGACCTGAAGGTGCCTTCGTTTTGCTTATATCTATGAGTGAACTATTTTAGAATACCCAAAACATGTTCTTTAATCTATATGGCCCTTGGGGAAGCCATGATTCCTGCATGAGGATCCAACATAAATAATTTCCTTATGGGCAGCAAGGATTCCTCCATGAGGATCTAGCATAAAAATTTCCTCATGGACGACAAGGATTCCTTCATTCAACATAAATAATTACCTCATGGGCGACAAGGATTTATAAATGAGAATCCAACGTAAGCAATCACCTTGTGGGCGAAAAAGATTCCTCCACGAGGATCCAACATAAATAATTGCCTCGTGGGCAATAAGAATTCCTCCATGAAGATCGAACATAAATAATTGCCTCGTGAAAAACAATTATTCATGCATAATGATCCAACATAAGCAATTACTTTATGGGTGACAAAGATTCATCCATGAGGATCCAGCATAAATAATCGTCTATTGGGAGACTTTGATACAGTTCCAAACTCTAGTACTTAATTTTTGCAAAACAAGAACAAAAGTTTAAGCAAGATTCATAAAAAAAACACGGGGTGCCTCATTAAATTCCAATGTAGAGTGCCACTCATATAGATAAACAATTTCTTTGAAATAAATTATTCAATCGATAAAGGTGATGTCTTGCCTTAACCAATTCAGATGATAAATTAACTAATCAAAACACGGCATTACGCCTAACAAAGGTATGCGGTCTTGCCAAAGTCTATTCATATGATACCTCCACGCTCTTTTGAACAGTGCGGTCAACTCTTCATCTTTGAGAGGCGTACTCTAGGTTTCTTTTTTTTTTGCTACAAGTCCATAACATTTACTTTTCATGCATTTGGCTACTAGGTGCAGGCCACGACCATAGTCACCCTTTTCAGCTTCAAAATATCTCAATAACATGTTCTAGTAATCTCCTGATCCCTCTGGATAACCCCAACACATCATCGAACAATGGGTACTTCATGCATATGTATAATGTGGACAGGGGGTGGCTTCTAATTGATTGAAATCGAACTAGCTTATAATCATGTTATATATGTGGATCTATGTTCTTGCAGGTATAGCTGTAATACAGTGGGAGAACTGACTTTTCTAGCATTTTATCGTAAATGTTGCGGTTATCAAGAGTCGCTACCAACTTTTCTTTTATCCAATGAAGAAAGGGTGAAAAGAACAGGAAAGACCTTAATAGATTTTGAGTTCAGGGGGTAAGTTATGAAAAGGAAATGTGTTAGCACTCTTTTCTTCCGTAGTTTATCTACGGGCTCTTAATTGCTTTATCACTTTAAAAATTGCTTTGTGTGTGTGTGATTTGAAATTTTTTTGAATGCCAATTATGAGGCAGACTTTGTAATAATTCTAGTATCAGTCCTCAAGAATGTATACAAAGTGTCTTTTGAAAATATTTTTTTTGAAACCTGAGGCGTAAAAATGAATTTGTTTGTTTGAAACTGTTATGAGCAAGCAATTTGTTACGTCTTACCCACTAAAGGTCATTCTTTTTATTTTCCTTCTTTGTTAGAGATAATATTATCCACACCATTAGTTAGTAGGTAGCCCTATCTATTAGATGTGAAGGGACAGGCGTAGGGTCATCGTATGGTCATAGAAGGCAACATGTAAGGATATTTTTAGCAATTTGAAGGGACTATCATCATTTTTCTCGTAGGATCATCGAAGGGACTAGATCATTTTGTACGCCACATAAAGGGTCATCAAGGGATTATGACCTTTATTCAAAAGGGACGATGATGATATTGTTTAACCAATGGTCTTTGCTAAAGTATTCCTATTTTCGAGGGACATGACCAATGTTTTCCGAAGGCAACTGAGGAGGTTACCTCAGAGGTGTATGTGTGCAAAGTGAGTTCAGTTCAGTTACGTTATCTTAGAATTATTTAAGGTTATCTACCGTTTAATTTTATCTTGCCATACAAGTCTATTACTACACAATTATATATATATATACACACACACACACACACACACACACAAGACATAAAGAATAAGTGCGGAAAAATAAAGTCATACGCTATTACAGGGCCTTGGGGCAGTTACATGATAAAGAAATTGTGCGGGAATTTAAACTAGGTTATTATAAAATTTGTACATCCTATACAATTTGTCTAAGAAATAAATAGCACAATTAGTAAATTATTTTTAATGTCCTAATATCTAAATGTTAGAAATTAATTTTTGTGTATTTTTTGGTTTGATTTGAATGATAAAATAAATAGATTTTAAACCTAAATTAAACACTTAATTAATTATTAACAAAAACCTATGTCTAATTAATTAATTAAGAAAAATATTGTCAAAATTAAATTAACCTATTAAAAGTCTAAATCTGATTTTATTATATTTTTATGATTTTTATTAAATATTAATTAAAAGAAAATAGAAATTAATTAAACAAAATAAAAAGGAAAAAAAAGAAGAAAATTGTAAAATG